GCGGTCCAGGATTGTGAGAGGGATGTCTGACTGCTCCAATCCCGGGGATCGGGCCTAAACCGGCAGTTGGAGACATCCCCCGGGGCCCTGGATTGGAGAGGGTGCAGTCTGGGCTGAGGGGACCACCCCCCCTCATGCACAAATTTTGTGTACTAGGCCTCTAGTTTATACATAAGACATAATTGAGACTGGTAATTGAAAAAAAACCTCCCCTTTCTAAAATTAAGAAACCAAACATTTTATAATTTAACCTGCTCATAATCATATTAAAGAACAACAAGCTACATGTTCTTGGTGATAAATTTCTGAGATTTTTAATGAGAACCTTAGGAAGACAATGCTACTTACCACAGTTTTGTTCATCACTCAGGTCCCCACAGTCATCATATCCATCACACACAAGGCTGTAATTAAGACACTTGCCCGTGTGACAGTGGAACAGATTCTCGCTGCAATCTGCAAATAAGAGAAACCACTCAAGTACCATCTGAACAGAAGGTGATGCTATAGTGGTGCTCTATGTAGCAAAAGTATATCAACAGGAGGGAAACCATAGTGACAACCTGGTCCACATCTAGTGCTATACAGGTGAGGAGACTGGTGCAGAGAGATCCAATGACTTGCTCAAGGTCACATAACAAGCTACTGCAGAACCAGGACTAGGACCCTCGGGCTCCCAAGTTATTGCTTTTATCACTTTCTGAGACTTTCACTTTATGTCCCCTGAAAGCTCCTTTATAGTCAAATATGAGAAATGATATTCTCAATTCATCATAGTTCCTCATGAAGTTCATGCTCATACAGAAGCAATGACTTTAGTAGAGGGTAAGTAGCTATTTCCTAAAAATGTTTCCTTTGGAATGAAAGTCTAGTTTTGTCCATGATAAACATAAACACAATGGAGAGAAAAACTTATTTAGATTATAGAGTCATTACTCACTTTCATACAAACATGATCCCTTAAGTCAGCGGTTCTCAACCTGTAGGTCACAACCCCTTTGGCAGTCGAACGACCCTTTCATAGGGGTCGCCTAAGACCATCCTGCATATCAGATATTTACATTATTATTCATAACAGTAGCAACTTACAATTATGAAGAAGCAACGAAAATAATTTTATGGTTGGGTCACAACATGAGGAACTGTATTTAAAGGGCCAGAAGGTTGAGAACCACTGCAAGTCAATGGAGTGTTTCATAAGATGACCCTTAAATAAGCAGGTACTGTCCTAGAGTATGGCAGCAAGATAAGAATGAGTGGTATGCAGCTTCAGGAAGCATATAGTTTAATGTTGGAATGAACAACATGTGAGAAAATTTTAATAAGAAGGTATGTCTTGTTTTTGGGCAAAACAGAACTCATATCCGAGTTCTGCCATCTACTAGCCATGGGAATTTGAGTGTATTAGCTAAAAATCTATGAGTCTGTGAACTGACCTATGAAACTGGGATAAGATCATTAGTTAATACAGCTTGGACATAGAGATTAATAAAATAATGTGTGTAAGATGTCAAGATAATTCAAAGGGAAAAGAATACTCTTCGACAGATGGTAATAGAACAATTAGATTTTAAGTGTACAAAACTGAACTCTGACCTTTACCTCAAATTATACACACAAATTATCTCAAAATGGATCATAGACTTAAGTGTAAGCGCCAAAATTATGAAGCTTCTAGAACAGCGGTTCTCAACCTGTGGGTCGCGACCATCGGAAAACACATATAGCATATCAGATATTTACATTACGATTCATAACAGTAGCAAAATTACAGTTATGAAGTAGCAACGAAAATAATTTTTATGGTTGGGGGTCACCACAACATGAGGAACTGTATTAAAGGGTCACAGCATTAGGAAGGTTGAGAACCACTGTTCTAGAAGAAAATATAGGGGGGGAAACTTTGTTCTTTGACCTTGGGTTAGACAAAGAATTCTTAGATATTCCAACAAAAGCATAGGCCATGAAAGAAAAATTAATAAATGGACCTCACAAAGTTAAAAATATTTGTACTTTTAAAAATATTATTAAGTCCTGCATTGTTTGAATTTATGAGCATGCATCAATTTTATAAAAACAAGACAGTATTCTCTTAAAAATGTATTTTACACAATTATTACATTATTTAAATGGAAGTTCTAATAAACATTATTCAAAAGTAAAAAAAAGAATTAAAATTAAAATGCTATTAAGAGAATGAAGAGAATAGCCAAAGAACACATATGCATAGCCCATGGACACAGACAACAATGTGGTAAGGGCCAGAGGGAGGTGGGGGCAGGGTCTGGTTGGAGAGGGACAAAAAGAGGGAAATTAGGGGATATCAGTAATAATGTCAACAATAAAATATTATTTAAAAAAGAAAAGAAAATGAAAAGATAAACAAGCTATATACTGAAAAAATATTTGCACATCATGTATCTGATAAAGTATACACGGAACTCTTACACTCAATAATAATAAGTCCCAATTACAAATTAGCAAAAGACTTGAATAGAAAGTCGTCATAGGAGACATACAAATGGCAAATCGGCACATGAAAAGGTGTTCAATATAATTAGTTATTAAGGAAATGCAAATTAAAACCACAATAAGATACCATTATACACCTCCAAAATGGCTATAATGAAAAAGACAGACAATAGCAAGTATTGACAAGGATTCTGAAAAACTGAAACTCATATACCACTGGTGGGAATGTAAAATTATAATGTCACCATGTAAAGCTGTTTGGCAGCTTCTTATAAAGTGAGCTATAACTTTACCATATGATTCATGAATTCTACCCTTAAAAATCTACTCAAGAGCAATGAAACATATATCCACACAGAGACTAGTATGTGCATTGTCCATAACAGCATTATTCATAACAGCCCAAAACTAGGAACAATCCAAACACTCAATGGTGAGTGGATAAGTAAGATGTAGTATACGCATATGATGGAATACTATTTAGAATTAAAAGTATTGAACTAGTGATACATGTGACAGCATAGATGAACCTCAAAAACATTATGCCAAGTGAAAGAAACCAGACACGAAGACTACAGATTGTGTGATCCACTTATAAAATTTCCATAAAAGGCAAACTTATAGAGACAGAGATCAGAGCCATGGTGATCTGTGGGTGGAGAAGTAGAAGCGCTTCTTTGGGGACTGACTGCAAACAGGTGGGAGGGAAATCTGGGGGGAGATGGAAAAGTTCTAGAAGTGGATTGTGGTGATGGTTGCACAACCATAAATTTACTAAAAATCAATGGGATACATTTATGGTTTGCAAATTATACCTCAATAAAACTGCAAAACTGTTTTAAATTAATATACGTAAAAATGCCTACATTGGCTAGAAAGTAGATTTCTTAAGTGTATTATCTTTTCCCTTATTTGAAATGAAGTAAATACAAAAATAGATCCTTAAGTCTGGAGAGAGCATGGAAAATGGGCAGAAGTGTGGATGGCATAAAACTTCACCATGTTTCAGGTAGAGGGAATAACAAGAACATGGAAGAGGAGAGAAATAAGGGTACATTTGAGGATCAGTCTACTTAGCTGATGAAGACCAAGAATCTAGTAGTCAATAGTACAGTTCCCTGAATTCCAGCTGATCATTTCTCCTGAAGCAGAAGCCTTATCTCATACAATGGGCTCTATTCTTTTAAAGTAAGTTACTTAAATACTTTAGAATAACATCATTTTAGAAACAAAATGGGCCTTAGAAATCATCTGTTCAGCATCCTCATTAAGAAGGTGTTTTGTGTACACAAACACACATACATGTGAACACAACACATTGCTCACACTTATATACATGAAGAAATTGTAAGTATTCATTTTCATTTCCCCCAGGCTGAATAATTTTCAAATGAGATTAACCATCATAAGGAAAAATATAGGAACTACAAAGAGGTTCTAGTTTTTTGAGAGAGCTGTACTATTTCCTCCCATTCAGCAGAGGGCGCTAACTCCCCACTCTGCACCCAATCGCTGCCTGGGACTATTGCACATGTGCTAGCTGAGTTGGGAAAAGGTTCTGACCTTTGTGTTCTTGCCCACCAAGCAGAGCTGGGAAATCTGTGCATCAAGATACATGCATTTCCTTGAAAAGTTGTAAAAGGTCTTTTTACAGTTTTGTTTTGTTTTCACCTAAATTACTCTTGTGGGACGTTTTGAAGCAGTATGCTAGAATATGTAATAACAAGGATTCTCAACTGGACCATTAATGCGAAAGTACTCGCATTCCCTGAAAGTGGTGGTGCGGTGGAGGGGTGGCATATTTTAAACCATATGAGTTAAGTGGGGTTTTTTTTAAGCCGTATACCTCACTTCTTTTGATTGTAGGACTGGGGCATCAAACACTCCTTACAGGATCTGATTAACACACCAAAATTTTCCAATGATTCACGTGTCCTCTGTGAAACCTATTCTAGGATCCCCAGTAATTCACACTAAGACCTCATTTGAGATATTTTTAAATTAATGCTGTCATGTATTAAATTATTTCATGGATGACTCAAGCATTAAAGAAAACAATTCCTTATTATTTACACACACAGGTACAGATTCAACTTTCCACTGTTATGGCTTACTTGGTTAGAAGCCATTCTCAGAGGTTAGATACAAAATTAGCTACATTTGGAAAACAACTTGTTACCTCCCTAAGGTCTGTGTGACTAGTAAACACACAAAACCTGAACCCGAGGCACTGCACAGCCAGAAATACATAGCAAATAGCAAAGATCACAGTGCCTCCTTTTAGTGGAGTAAATGTTTATTTGCACTGAAAAGAAATGTTGTCAGCGCAGTTTGGGGCCAACGAATGAAAATGTTCAAAAGCTACTTGCTGTGATTTTCTTGCTCAATAGAAGTATAATTTTGCATGACCTGAGGTAGATGTTTTTCTAGATACAGATCATTTTTCTTAATGAGAGCTTGATACAAAATGAAGTTCTTGCATGTTAATATTTATTTCAGTTTGGCACCTCACACTATTAACTTTTGTCTCTTAAAATGATCGTGAGATTAAGGGAGAAAACGAAGGAACAGAAAACCTTTTATCAAGGATTTCACTCAATTTGCTCAGTCTCTATGAGTCTGTAAGCATTAATATGTTGCCTCATTTCAAGGTTCCAGTATGGATGCTCAATTTCTCCCTCCAAATCCCCTCAATTTCAGATGACCAGAGAGGTTAAATGGTTTGCCCACAGTTACCCAGCTCACTAATAGCAGGGCTATGAGATGAATCGAGGCTTCTCGTCTACCTGGGGTTCTTTTGACTACTGACTTCTATCTTTGATTCTCAACCTTCCTAATGCCGTGACCCTTTATTACAGTTCCTCATGTTGTGGTGACTCCCAACCATAAAATTATTTTCGTTGCTACTTCATAACTATAATTTTGCTACTGTTATGAATCGTACTGTAAATATCTGATATGCAGGATGTATTTTCATTTTTTGCGACCCACAGGTTGAGAACCACTGAAGGGTTTCTGAATTGCAGTACTGTTGGCAATTTGGACTGCATAATTCTTTGTTGTGGGAGGGGCTACCCAATGCAATGTAGCAGCATCCTTGACCTCAACTCACTAAATGCCAATACCATTGCTCCCAACCCCCACGATTGTGAGCATCAAATCCATCTCCATATATTATAAAAATGTCCCCTAGAAGACAAATTGTCCCCAATGGAGAACCACTATTCCACGGTATCTGAAGATCACCTCAATCCAAAGCCTGGCTTTAATCCATCTTTTTCATCAGCTCTTTCATACCAACCAAACTCCCAGTAATCCTCCTCTCTTCCCAATTTACAGGACCTCCCTTTCTGTTTACACCACTCTTCTTTTGCTTTGTGACATCTCTTCTACTATATTGTTCTAAAATACCACATCCAATGATCTCTATGCTTCTATGCCATTTCCCTGGTTAGATTAAAAGCCTCATGAAGAAAGAAACCATGTCTTAAGAGTCATTATACTTCCTAGGCATCTAGAATATGCTTCACACACAGCAGGAATTCAAGGATATTCAATAGTTGGATTGATTCAGCATAACCAAATTGTCACTAAACAAAAGTGAATTTTCCATCTGAAGCTTCTTCCTTCAGTGGAGAATGAAATATTTGTATTATTTTGATGGAAATATTTCTCATATCTACTTGCATCCCTATCTCAGTAAAAAGAATATAGTAAATGCAGTCACTTGTGATGATTGGGAAACATCATTTGGAAAACCACCTGAATTAGAGTCCCTAGATGTGGAAATGCCACTGTCAACCCATCTGGATGACAAAGAAAACCAGGGCTAGAGAAGTCGCCTGCCTAACGTCGTAGAGCTAGAAACTTTTAAAAGAAAACTTTTCTTAATTTTCAAAATTCCTTATGCTACATCATTAAATTGTTCCAGGTGGTTGGAAATCTGTTCGTTCTACAAATACTTAGGATGAGACTGATAAACACAGCAAAATTAGTTAGGGGAGAAAGTCAGGAGGCAGTCCCGATACCTGTAATAGACAGTCATCTCCCAAGCACAGCAGAGCATCCAAAATAGACATTTGCCATAGCAATGATCAGAATATAACCACTCGCTGAGTCTTTTATGGACAAGGGCAAGTCAAAGGCAGCACAGTCTAGAGAAAACAGCATTCGACTTGGCCCCATTCGAGACTGTGTTCAAACCTAGCACTTGGAACCACTGGCACATTTTTTCACTGCCTTAAGCCTCAGCTTTGCATCTGAACAGAAGGGGAAGAGAATACCTTCTTTGCTGAAAATTAAGTCAAATCATGGAGGTACATGCATCCAGCACAGTTGATTAGGGAACTCACAAATAAAATGCACCTTCCCTTCCTTTCTTTAAAGGCCTCCTCCTCCTCCTCCTCCTCCTCTTCCTCCTCCTCTTCCTCCTCCTCCTTCTCCTTCTCC